GAACGGTTAATATAACTATGTGACATTATGAAAATGAGAATGATTTATAACGCTCTAAATATCAATGATTAGAATTCACAACTCAGCGTCGTTTTGAACAGTTCAGACTTCACATCCTTGAATTAATATATACTGCAAAAAATTGCGCTGCCACACTACCAACTAATTTGCTACACTGCCAGTTATGATACTACATTTAACAGCTACTTTGCCACTATGCCGGCTATACTTCTACATTAATAGATATGCTGTCTCACTGCAGATTATTCTACCGCATTACCAGCTCTGTGCTGTCACACTTCGAGTCCTGTACTACTGTCAGATCCGTTCTGCCACAACCCTGTGTATCCTCACCGCAAGCTCTATCAGGAATCAATACACAATTAATAAAATCCGGTTCAGTACCCAAGAATGTAGTCCCAGTCTATTTTTAGATCACTTTTTCCGGTCTAAATTTGGTGGTGATGCTAGAGTTAGATTTTGGCATTCTTGGCAAGGATTTAAAGGCAATTGATTATTCTTTAAAATGTGAGCTTATGGTGTGGTTGTCTGTGTGTATTTCGACGACAGTGCACATTGAGTAATAAGGTCATGGTGATCAAAAAAATGCAGGTCAACCCTTGACAAGAACTAAACCGTAAAGTCATCTTTGAAGGTAGTTTAGATTAACATATGATTTGTATTGATTGTCACACAGTGGAAAGTTCAGTACTGAGAAACAAATGTAGAGACCATATAGTAAAATTAATTGTGTACTATGGCCTGTCAGTAAAAACTTGAAACTGATATAAATATTTTATTATTAATGACATATACATGAAATTTGAATATGTCATGTATTATGACTTTAAAAATATAAAAATGAAATTAAAAGTAAAAAAATAATTTTAATTTTAAAATTAAAATGAAATTTTAAAAAACAATTAAAAAATAAAAAATTTCCACCAAGTATACACATATATAATATTTTTGGGGAATGATATTAAATGATATCAGCATATATATACTCCTACACCATATACAAGCTCAAATGATGGATATTTGTCAAATTTGATCAGAGAAAATATCTTTATTAGTCAAAATGCGACTCTTATTTAAAATACATGAAGACAAAATTCTATTTTGCTTTGTACCTTTAGGTCATTGAAGCTATTCATTTGGGGTTCAAACAGTTAATTTATGTGTTTATGATGGGGTGAAACCTGAGTAATACATATCTGCTTGTATAGCTATCAGTAATTGTTTATAACCATAGTTATAGGGTATTTAGTGAGAGGACAGAGATGAAGACTTTATACTAGAACCTGTTCAAGTTCTCTACAAAATCATATTAAGCTGTCAGAGAATGAAATACAGGTCAGAGGGGTAAAATATACTTTACCCAGGTATATTTACCATTGCATGTAAGAAAACAGCAAAATGATGTAAGTTGAACAGAATGCGTTCCATTTTATTGTTCAGTTTCTTTAAGATGTTGATTGATATAGTGTGACATTGCAGCCCAGATGATATTATGAGAATTCTCATGATCCATTTTGCTTTATGCATTATTAATGACTAATAATATTTGTTATCTGACACTTTAAAGATTACATAAGTAATATTCAAACAGATTATTTAAATTTAACTTTCTACAACTGATCCTAACATGGTTACATAGCTGACATGAACAAATATGCATATATTTTGTAATGTTTGGAATCAAAAGTTGACATTGTTAGGCTGACATGGTACCTATAGTGAATCTGTAAGGCTCAGTTTTGACTGTGTGCACTTAAAATATCCCAAGATGTTATTTTCATCATGAATATGCCTCTGTATGGTAACACATTTCAATTTAGTACTTTGACAGAGGGCAGTATTGCAGCATCAGCTGATATTTGATTCCATTGAATCATTGAATCATTGAACTTAATAACTTGGTAGCCAAGACTCTTAAAAATAGACAAAAATGTTCAAACAGATTATTTGAATCATGTTTGCACATGTGATTTTAACAAGTACATTGCATATGTCCCACACATGCAAATATCCATCCTTGTTTACAAGTTTTTGGGATGAAAATTTCACATTTAGTTGATGATATAACATCTATTTGTACCTATAGTTGATCTGTGTGGCCACATTTTGCTATATTTACTCACAATATCTAAAATTGTCTTTCCTTCATGAATATGATTGCATATAGTAATAAATTTTAATTTGGTACATTGTCATTTGACTTTCCACTATACTGGTATGTATCAATGTTTGCACCAATGATCAAACCTCACTGTTCCAACATTGCCTTAAACTTTATGATACATACTCTACCTGATTAGTTATTTAACCTGTAAATGGCTAAATATGCTTGTAGAAACTTCATCTATTTTTAGGATGCATTTGTCACTTTAATACATGCCCATTGCTTCACATCTTTGAGTGTCACTCTATCAAGTTTACCTTTTTTAACCATATTTGCAACCTGAATGTTATTTTGAAATCACCATATGTAACACATTTTAACTTCATTTGCCTACATCTTCCTTTTTTTAGAATTAAGTGAAACATGTTATATATTTTCAGGTCTAGTCTGGTATCTGGAACAAAGTATTAGAGTTGGATCAATTTGGAAGCTCTCCAGTAGTCCAATGGTGATAGCAAGGTCTCATAAGGTCATGTGCAGTGTGCTGTTATAAGTGACCAAGATGAGTTCATATCAGTACACTGATATACAGCATCTCAAAGACATGGCTTAGATCTTCATGAGAGAGATTCACATCTTTTTTCAGTAAGGTGAAACTGTATTTTCATATTGCATTGTTGACTTTTGTAGTTATCGATATTAAAATGTAATGCATATTTGCTATAAAACATGGTAGTGGTCCTATCAAAACTTTAAATTTGAGTGGGATATTAGTTATACAAACAACTGTCCAAGTACCTGAAACAATATATGTGGAACATAGTACCTGTCATTGTTTCTTTAGTATGTACACCTATATGCATCTGGATAGACACATTGCAATTTGCTGTCAAAATCACTGTGAGCTATCATGCTTCAGTACCCCTGGGATTAATATTATCAGTTGCACAGACCTAAACTACCATTTGTTTTAAAGACCATTCATTAATCCGCATTCCTGCTTTAAACTTGTGAAACTGAATGTCATAACTTGTATGAAAATTTATTTTTTGTAAAATAAAAAGTTTTTAAAATTTATATATTTATTTAAATTTCCATTAAAATTTAATATATCAATAATTTGTAATTTCAAGGCTATTTGCAGACAAGCCTTTTTAAGTATTACAATTAGGTTTTTACTGCATTGAAAAATTCCTATAATTAAGGAAGATATAGCAAATTTAGTTTTGGTTTCTTAAGAACAATTGGACCTCAAATTGCACCCTATAGAACACCAGCACTACACACTTTCTGACAGCTGTCACATGTCTTGCTTGCAAGGAAATTTCAAAAGACTTTATGTATGAAGTTGAAACAGTAGTGGCATGCAAAATAAAATGCAAATATAAAAGTTTGACAAAAACATTGACCCTTTCAGGAATCAGTACACAATTAATAAAATCCGGTTCAGTAGTACCCACGAATGTAGTCCCAGTCTATTTTTAGATCACTTTTTCCGGTCCAAATTTGGTGGTGATACTAGAGTTAGATTTTGGCATTCTTGGTAAGGATTTAAAGGCAATTGATTATTCTTTAAAATGTGAGCTTATGGTGTGGTTGTCTGTGTGTATTTCGGCGACAGTGCACATTGAGTAATAAGGTCATGGTGATCAAAAAAATGCAGGTCAACCCTTGACAAGAACTAAACCGTAAAGTCATCTTTGAAGGTAGTTTAGATTAACATATGATTTGTATTGATTGTCACACAGTGGAAAGTTCAGTACTGAGAAACAAATGTAGAGACCATATAGTAAAATTAATTGTGTACTATGGCCATCAGCTATTCTGCCAGCCCTTTCACACTACCTGCCCTGTGCTACCACGCTGCCAATCCTGTCAAGCAAAGATAGACCAAATGTACATGCGCATTATACTGAATTAACTTTATTAATAATAAAATATAAACATTTCATAAATCATATTCACTCTAACAATAACTGATGTACTGCAAAAATCCTTTCAAATATAAACTATTGTCAATTTTCTACCTCAATGTATACAGACCTCACCATTTACCTATATCGAACCGACTATATTCCATACCCATACCCAAATAAGTTACCAGGAAGTTCAATATTAATAATACAAGAAAAAATGTATAAACATATGATGCATTTCAATTTCTTAAATCTGTAGTAAGTGCATAGCAGTATCATTCCTATAAGTACTAAGGAAAAAAAATAGCATGCAAGATCCGAGGGTAAATTATTCGTCAACATCATTAAATATGGGCTTTATGCTGTGAGCAACATACAACGAGATGCATGTAATATGTTTCCCATTAGTAAAGGTTCAATGAGTAAAACTACTATAGGTAACGTAGCACTTTTAAGCAAATTTAATTTTAGACATTCGTTCTAAGGCATTACCAAGTTATTTTCTACCCTTTTTTCATGACACTGTGACAGTGATAAATTCTCAAGTACTTTACAACAACCATATTCAGTCCATCACTCATCTTGTGTGGTATACTGAGGGTATAATAAATGACAATGCAATTAAAATGTGACAATATCATCAAAATAATGTTCAGTATTTAGAATGTACATTTTACAATTTCAAATAGGGATGATAATATTTCCAGAAAGTGCATGTGTGTGCGTCTAATTTAGATTTGTAACGTAGCTTTAACAATTTTTCAGTCATATCGCTACTATGTCTGTAATGTGACAGTTTATAGTGATGTCTAGCACTGGGGCATCATGTCGTAGACATGAGCATTGATGCTTTTCACAGTCACATTATCCTGACATCAGGTCAACCAGTCCAAACACTAACCTCTTAATGCTGGGGCAGCTGTTAGTACCATTTGTACCATTTTAAAAAGTCTTTGGTATGACTTGGACGTAGTTCTAACCCGCGACCTCCTGCATCCGAGGCGGATGCTCTAACCACTAGGCTACCGGAGCGGTATTTTCAGAAATAGAACGAATCTTTTAAGGTTATGCCAAACGCATGTATTGTGTCAAAATATTGCGTTACAACAATAACGTCTTGTTTATGTTGGTCATCCCTCTAACATTAACCACAATATCCACTGACAGCTGTGATACATGCTAATCTTAAATCTGTTCCCGATTCGGAACTGTTCACAAATATTTTTACTACAGTTAATGAACTTTCTTGACGGTCCATTATTTGTCAGGATACTCAAGAAACTGGATAGACAATTTTGACGTCTGGGAGTATAAACCGTTCTTCTAGTATAATAAACTGATATACTAATTATTACTTGGAATATAATCGAAATGCATCGCTATCATGATCAATGCTATGTATATGTCATGGCTTTATCCTACAGTATCATAAGGATAAATGTCCAATGACCTATATATTATATTCATATTGAGATCTGAACTTATTTTAGGAAACTTCACTGCTTGCGTGAGACTTCTGCCTTGCAGTTACAACGAAATTAGTGGTAGTCAAATTTACATTTATTTTTGTTTTAGGTTGAGTTATTCCTTGGTCTAATGCACTCTGTTATCGTCTGCTTGCTTCAGAATGCCGCTTAGCTCAATCAGCAAAACTCGTTTGGTAGTACGAATCCTAACAAAAACACATATTCCAAAGAAACTTGTACAATGTTGTAGATCAAGCAAAGGGAATTAGCACGAAACGTTGTAAAAATCAAGCGCTGAACAACCCCAAAGGAACAGAGCAATTTCCAACAACTACATAGAACGACATTCATGTTGCAATATTCGATGTAAAATGCGATGCTTCCGTTAAGATGGAATTGTTGCATAAAAAGACTTCCAGAATTCGAACAATATTTGCTTGCAAATGGATTTGATTTGTATTATAGGACTATACACTGACTAACACCTACAAAACTATTTTTACATCTCGGTGTACAGCACGTTGGTGTACGAGGTCTTACCTATAGGCTTGTTTAAAGAAACACAAATAAAATAGCGAAGACAACAAGCGTTGAATGTTTTAACAAAAATAATTTATTTTCGTTGAAAACACGGTGAAAAGGTTAAAATATGAAATAGGACTTAAATTTTACGAAGAAAGTCAAAACATTTGTTCCTTAATTATGAAATAATAGAAGTCCTATCAATCAACATTTCTAATTGAAGCTATTCTAATCTAACCTCCGTTCCAAGATGGTGGATGATGACGTCAGACGAATTTTATTCTTACACAGATGTCCAGAATTTTCACTTTGAATCACAATTTTTATTGTTTTCTTGCAATTTAGAATTAATTCACCAAATGTCTTTGTCCAAAGCCAGTTGTGTGGTTCTCCATGGAAAATAATTATTATTATTTAACAAGTTAGCAAATAGATGAAATACAGCTTGCACCAATAACAATGTACATCTTGCTGCACAGACGCACAAATAAACAACTCTTTCCAGCATCAGAAAAGAATAATTTTTATTCAAGATATATAAACATATCTCTACAAGGTGTTACAATAAGACTCTGACTAAATGAATGACTACTATTTCACAGGAAATAGAGTATTTAAACTGAACGAAAAAGTCATTTCATATACACACGCACAAGCCACGAGTGGTGATTTAAAGTTCTCACACGTATGACAAAGCGTAAACAAGAATAATTAGAAATGATCTTGGTCATAACCAATCATCTATCTAGCCTGTTTATCGGACTATCAATCTAAAATGAATGCTTACAAAATCCTAAGTGTCATATTTACAGCATAAAAAGCACGACATTTCACTCAAATTATCTGACCCTGTAAATATAATCATCACAATAATAATTATATTTAATGATACACAATGATATGGAAAGAATTCAAATTTAAACACACATAATTAAACTATATGGTCGTAAAACTTTCCCCCATAAAGAAAAAAGAAAGATTTATATAGTAAAGCTTTCTTTTTTTTACCAGTATAAGCTACACGAGGTAACAAATTACATAAGAAGAACTCTTCTGAATCATACAAAGGTGTATATGAAAATGATAGTTTTATACACGGGAAAGTGCATCTGTAATTAAATTATATTTTCCTTTGATGTGCCTGATGTCAAGATTGTACTCTTGCAAAAATAAACATCACCTTAATAGTCTTTGGTTTTTATCTTTTTTTTCTGTCAATGAATGTAAGGGAGTTGTGATCTCTAAACACGACAACCGGAGAAGGAGTTCAGCTGATGTAAACTTCAAGATGATGCAAAGTCAGTAATAAAGCCAAGCATTCTTTGTTAATTGTTGAGTATATTGGTGTTTAATTTCTTAGAGAAAAAAAACAGTGGAGTTTCTACACCATTTATGTCATCTTAGATCAAAACTGCTTCAACAACAGCATCACTGGCATCGACATACATTTTGATTAGTTTTCAATTTCTCAACAAGTTAGTTAAATGTTCAACAATAACAGGAACACACAATATTCAACAACAGTGCACTGATATATATATATATATATATATATATATATATATATATATATATATATATATATATATATATATTCTTTAGGGAAAGGGTGGATTTCGAGCTCTACCTATTAGAATGATTGACACAATGTAATGACTACGAGTTCTTTCAATGACCTATGAAAGGTTATTTGTCGAGCACAATGACGACTGAGCTAGGCCTGGGTAGCTTAGATAGGCTTTCAAAGCAAATATCCGGTAACCCGCACTTTTGATAAATTCTACCTGCCGTCACTACTATGGCTAGATAATAAGAGTTGGCTTAGTGCCAGCATTTACATCGGGGAATGGGCCAGAATATATTCTTTATCAGCCTGAAATAGATTTTCAATACAAATAATGCTGCCACTGCGCTTTCTCCACATCACAAATGATACTTGCCACATCCTGACACGAAGCTGGCCTTATCATTATCGCTCAAAATCATCGACCTGCAAAATGGACCAATTCATGACATCAATAATCAAGTCAGTGATGGAAAAATACATCCTCAAAAACAACGGACTACACATCAGCATAACTCGCAATTAAAGACCAATGAGCATTTTACAATGCAGTTCAATATAACCCTTTCCCCTCACAATCCAATACTGATTGGTATTACCGCTATCAGCTGTTTTATTTAGAGCTGACATCATACATCATTATTAGCATCATGTCTGACATGGTTGAAAAAAAACTACTTTGATGTTGCCTCGTTTACTTGAACTGAATGTGGAAAATGCTGTTCAACGTTTCAAAGTCTCGAATACGATAGAGCGCCTCAAGCAAACATGATTGCACGTCATAAAATAGGTTGAAGATCAACTTTGATAATCATACTCAGAGGCTCAACGTCTGCAACAGTTATAGAGGGATTAAAACCATCAACTTCACAGGTATACCCCACGCGCTGACTGTATCTGTAGAGTGTGGCTGGAGTAAACGTTCATTAAGAGTTTTTGCCTTTCAGGCAAAAGGGATAGCAATCTTTCAAGCACATATGAAAATTATATCAACATTTCAGAATAATACATTTAGTTCAGACGGGTAGAAGCGTCAGAAAACAAATTTTAAAGTAAATTATGTTTCTTCAAGACTTTTTCCGGATTAAATTACCTTACGAATATCAGACCACTTTTGTTATCTCTATCTTATATAGACAAATGGCAATAACTCTTGTCATTGCCTTCCCTTTTCGCCTCTGTTGTCGCTAGTTGCTATAGCTGAGCGATATACTAAGTGGAATGCTCGCATTGCGTGGTGCTAGGGGGGGGGGTTTCAAGTAATGTGATTGGGTATTTTGTTTCAAAGCAACACAATTTACTCAAAAACTTGACTTCTTCAAAAACTTTTCGCATGTTCATTACGTTAGGGGAATAGGTTACATCAAGAAGGCATGATGTAGAATCAACCTATCTCGGGTATCTTTCTAATTAATGATCGCTGGAGTACCCATATGCACGATTACCCGTTCTCCTTATTACATAAGCCCCTGACGGTAGTGAGGTTCAGCGAAAGCTGGTGTCAGGATATACTGGTGTTTATTATTCGGGCTTCTCCAATGGAAACTATCTTCATTAACCAAAATCAGTTGCACCACTGAAGCAGGAATGACCATGTCTCGATTATGAACATGACTGTTTGATCGAGGGAATTGAAAACGGACGCCAGCATGCTAGCAGCTTCATTTTTAAGGGGCTTAAAAAGACCACATAACGTGATCAAATCCGCTGACACATTGAATATTGCGAGGATTTGCAAAAAACGTTCTCGATGAAATCCAGGCCCCATTGTAATCGGATTCGATTTATTAAAAGGTCCTGATTATGTGACCAGATGGAAGCAGTGCTATATTCAGATTGGTGATAAGATGAGATTTACCCAGGTTGTACTTTCCCCATTTCACGAAAAAGACTACACGATCTAAAAGTGAGAGAATATATTGTATGCCTTGTTGTTGCACAGAACTTACCATATTTCCGGAGGATGTCGTCCAAGTACGCTGCCATCATTGTAGATGAAGTCGATAGGAACTGGGTGACGACCAAGTCTGCAATCTTAGTAAAAGCCGAGTGTTTATGTTGAGTCCAAACTGCAATAATATTTGTGTCAGGCACTGGCCTATATGATACGATTTAGTGTTAATTACAACAGCATGCGTTTAATATAAACAAAATTCTTAGTCCAACAATTGAAATCGGCCCTTCCCCTATAAGGAGAGTATTAGTGGTTCGTAATGTACCTATTAATTAATGTTCTATTATTTCAAATAATTTTTAAGAATGCATTGGTAAAGTAAGATTTGAGAATGCTTCTAATCAGGGCCGGACTTAGGCCGATTTAATTGATTTGGACCCCATCAGGTCCGCAAAATTATAACATAAATAAACTCAACTATTTCTAGAGAGAAATTAATTTTAAAGAAATGGTAGAAACTTTTGATTAATATATCAAACTTGTGTAAAACTTTATTTCCCAATGACATGCTAACAGTGTAAATCGT